AATAAAGGGACTGAAATTATCATTATCAGAAATTCATGTGTCTTGAATGATTTTGGCTTCTTCTGTTTTTAAGGACTTATATGAGTACAGTTTGTCTGCATGGATAATATAGGAGAGTATTTCTATATTTCTATATCTATACTTATATAGTAATCTTAACTGCATCTATAAAATCCTTTTTGCCTAATAATCTGTTAATCTTCAAATTATTTTCACTGTATATATATATATATATATATATATATATATATTTTTTTTTTTTTTTTTTTTTGTCTTTTTCCTTTTCATCTGTACCAGGGATCAAACTCACGATTGCCTGCTTGCAAGGCAGGCACTTATGCCGCTGAGCTAAATCCCATAGCATAAAAGTATACGTGACACCATAGAACAAAAGTTTTTGGGGCCAAGATGATGATCTCTGTAGCTAAGATCTAATATTAGAGAAGATATAAATCATAAAAAGGTTACAATCTCAGTATCTGCGAGTTTTTGGTGGTAGCTGTGGTAGCATGACCATTGACTCTTTCCAAATATCCACATGAAACTAGAGCAATTAGAGACTAAACAAGTGTCTCTTGGGCTGAAAATATCAGAACAAATCAGGCAACAAACTTTAACTATAAATTTACAAATATAAAGATGTGGGAACAAATCACCAAAGGTCTAATTATGAACAGTGTTGGCTTAGGTGTTGGAGAAAATGAATAGAAGAAGTGAAATATTTAAAAGATAGGAGAAAAGAAAAACAGTCATTTGAAAGAGTGGCAGACTGTCTTGGGAACATTAGCTAACGCTGAGAAAGATACTATCTCTTCTAGTACTGAGTATTTGCAAAGGAAAGCACAAAGTGGTTATTGAAATCTACATGTTATGCATTTCCTAAATAGAATATCTGGGCTCCATTTGCAGATACATCCTTGCATTGAAAAGAAATTCTCCTACTTAGTCATCTCTTCCCTTGCCTATGCTCTTTTATTAAGAGGCTTTGTAGTGTTACCAGTTCAAAGAAGGATAGTCTGCCCATATGCTTGAGCCATCCACATTATTTGATTTGGCCAATGTGATGTTAGTATGAAATGTACTTCAATATTTCTGAACATTCATTTGTCCTTCTCAGTCATCTCTATAATCAGATTTCATCATCGTTCAATGAAAGAGAAAACACACAGTGAAAGAAGTTCTCTCAGTCCTCTGAATTAAGTCCTTCCTCAAGCAACCTACACTCAAGCTTGCATTGCCAATATTAGCAGAGTTGCCTGGTTGATGACTCAGGTCATATGAGGATATATGATGCTGAAGGTTTGATTGTTCTGTAAACATTATTTTTATAAAAGCTACATGATAAAGATGTTACGTTAAATTTTGCTTAAACAGTATAATTTGCACAATATATTTTGTTATCAATAACAAATCCAGTATATTGTATACTATGGGTGACTATAATTCTACATATGTGCTTCCTTTAAGATCAATCAGTTTTTCTTTAATTCCTATATCTTTATGAATTAGACACATTCTGCTAGCTGAAATTTCAGATTTGGTGTCTAGATAGAACCACAGTATTCAACCCACAACTGATTACAGGTTTTAAGGTAACAATTGCCATTTACATTCTTTGAATTCAAGGAATATATATTCTTTGAATGTAGACTTCATTACCCATGAAACATTGATCACTATGTTTCATTATGGCTATACTGCTCACATGATCTGTAATATATTTCCTGATGTAATATATAAATGTAAATCTTTCATCCAAGATTCTATAGGAAAAATTGGAATAATGAATCTAGAAATCAGAAGAGTATGAGAAAGCATGTAAAAGAAACAACTGACTTCATTGTGAATGTAGAAGGTATAATTTAACCCAAATAAAAAATATGTAAAATATATTTTTTCTATATTTTAAAGCAACATTTTCTATCAAAAAGTAGTGTTCAGAAAAGTCCCAGAGATAATTCAAAGTAATAAAGATATTCTTATTGTTCCTTCCCATGTGGTTTTCAATCAGAAAACCAGGAGTTTTCCATCCATATCATGTATACTTGATTTATTCCTATCTTCTCCCACAGGGACCGTTTCTCATTGAATCTATGCTATCAATACCTGCAGTAGAGCTAACTAAAAGTGCCACCATTTCCTCCTCTTGTGGTTCCACAGGCCATTGGGGAGTGCTTTTATTCACCAGTGATTTTATCTGTGTCTTATTTGGATTTCCACGGGTTTTATGTTAAAATCTATAAAATATAACTCCCTGCAGGACAGGCAGGCCCAAGCACTGTGATTCTAATGGTTTATTTGCACTTTGCTTTTTGACTTGATAAAGAAATGCTCAAAGGCTTAGAAAAAGACTTACTGGACCAACTCTTGTCCATTCTTGTCTATAGAAAGTTGTGAATAATTACAGAGGATTTCTCAGCAAAGTACCAGCCAAGAAAATGAAAAGAACATGTTTTGGTAAAGAAAGTAATAATTAACCTACGGGCAGAGCCTGAAACTGAGCCTACGTAGTATATTTTACACCAAGATTTTAATAGCTATACTAAATTTTTATTGTGTGTGTTTACTTTTGAGTCTGCCTTTAATTTATTATATATATAGTTTTATCATTTTTGGCTTTTTAGAATTAAATATATAACTTCTGCTTGCTTGTATCTACTATTAAAAAGCTGTTCAGAAGTAGGGAAAAAGGGATATTAAGGTAAGAAACAAGATAAACTATTTATGCATTAAAGAATAAAATTTATTTTATGATTAGTAAGATTACAAGTTTCAAAGAAAAAGAATCATAGTATTCACCTTATAAAATAAGGACTCCTGGCAGGCAGTGGTACCTGCCTGTAATCCAAACATTCTGGGTGGCTGAAGGCAGAAAGGTCATAAGGTGTAGGCAAGGAAATTTAGCAGTTTAGGGATATCCTGTTTAAAAATAAAAACAAATATGGATTGGGATGTAGTTCAGGGTAGAGACTCTGGGTTTAACTCCCAGTACGCCCAGAAAAAAAATACAAAAGAAAAGCACACACAAAAAACAAGTACCAACAGAACAACAAATAACAATAAAACAAAATCAAATCAAAATTCTTTTCCTGAAGGGCAGATTGTAATATTTTTGTTCCTTTTGAAATTAGACAATGAAGAAAGTGCACTGCTTTTGTACTTTTACAAGAAACATTTCTAGTTCTTGTGTGTTTTCTTATTCTGTATGTCATATAGTAGGAGGCTCTTAAGTGTCTAGTGACTAAGCAAATGATGGGGTTATAACAAACTGTTCTTGAAAAAATAATATCAAAATAATTGTTTCCTAGTACTGGCTCCTGGCTGCTGTAGTTTTAGATGATACGCTATCATTTGATTACTGAAACTAAAAACAAAACCAAATCAAGCACATGAACAAAGAAAATTTGCAGCTAAGCTCTTGTCTAATATCCAGTTGTGTGGTGTCAATTTAGTAGTTTTGACAAGATCTTACTTTCTCTAAATATTTCTAATCTTGTTTCTGTTATGTTACCCACTTGTATCTCATAGTAGATGGGCAAAATCACTCTGCAAAATATTCATTCTGTGGGTCCCACTTTACCATACTATGGAAGTGTACTGTGGTTAACAGGACTTAAATTATGCAAGTGAACTCTTTTTCCAACGACATATTTAGTTAGGATTGCTTAAATGGATTTGAATGTGGAATGGGAGTGGGTTTGAAACATGTCATAGGACTCATATAACTGGGATGTAATCAATTTTTTTCTTTGGTAAAATTAGTGGTTAACATCTTGATAAAAGTTGATATTAGAAGGATGGGAGAAAGTTCAGGTGAAGAGAAGATATTGAAAGCAATGGGAGACAAGGGATTTGAGACAAAAATAAAGAATACAGAATGGTCCTGTGCATGAGACAGAATGAGAGCCAAGGACAAAATCCAGTGATTTCTATATTCATGTCACACCAAACAAAAATACTTTTTGCATCATTTGCTGCTTTAGTAAGTAATGCAAACTCTTCACTCTGATAAGAAGGAGAGTATAAAATAAAAATAGAGTTTCAAAATTTGAGCACAAGAAATAAATGATCATATTTCTTTATTAGGGAAAATAGAAAGAAGATACAGAACAAATAAATTGGACTATTTAAGTATATGATGGTCTAAGCAGCCTTTATGACAATTTAAATGCATTCATATTTCTCTTTAATTTCAGAGATGACAGTGTCAGTTTCACAATTAGTCTGTTTTTTCCCCTAAGTATAAATTATAGTAAATACTCTGCTGAAATTTTTCATTTTTTATTGATATATAATGGTTAAGTTAAAATTTGCTTCTTGACAGATTTGTACAGAGATTTCTATGATTATGGATACTTTCTCTTGCCATGTCTGGACATTGCCAACTTCAAGAGATTGAAGGTACATATTATTTTTAAGTTGTTTAGTTCAAGCTATGAAATACAATCTTTTGCTAACCTACTTCCAACTCTTATGAGTTATTAATACTCTATTGACCTCTAATAAAACCAAATGTCTATCATGGTGTTACAAATAACTCTTTAATTTGATCCTTTTGTTGTACATACAAGCACTATTTATGACAAACTAACATTTAAATTGGCAGTTAACCATGAGTAAGTTTTGGTATATCTCTCAAAACTGTCAAATATGTTAAACTTACTATGTAAATCAAGTGAAAAACTAGTAAGGTATAAAGTAATACTTCTTTAACAGTGAAAAGTACTTTATTAAAATGATAAACTCGGGGGTTAGAGAAATACATTAGAAAATCACAAGTCAGACAACTCATTTATTGCATGATTATTGGAAATAACAACATACTTCATATTCAGTTCCTATAAAAGCATATAGCAATTCATACCTAATAGAACTGTGCAGCATAAAAGAGATAAGAACACACATCTCAATATCTTGTACAAGAGAAAAGGATATTTTGATACCAGAATATAGGTATAAAAATTTTTTTAATCTTGTCTTGTCCCTCTTAGGTTCTTGTGATGGGTGACAGGGCACCAGACAATCACTCAGATGTAACTGACTTCATTCTTGTAGGCTTCAGAGTACGTACAGAGCTCTGCATCTTCCTCTTCCTCCTGTTCCTGTTGGTCTATGGCATGGTCCTTTTGGGAAACATTAGTATGATGGTCATCATTATGACTGACTCCCAACTGAACACACCAATGTATTTCTTCCTGGGCAATCTCTCCTTCCTTGACCTCTCCTACTCCACTGTTATTGCTCCTAAAGCCATGGGCAACTTCCTGTCTGAGAAAAAGACTGTCTCCTTTGTAGGCTGTGTTGTGCAGTCTTTCCTATTTTCACTCTTCATAGTGACAGAGGGGTTCGTACTGGCAGTCATGGCTTATGACCGCTTCAGTGCCATCTGCTATCCTCTTCTTTATAGTGTCCACATGTCACGACGTTTGTGTATTCAGCTGGTTGCTGGCTCTTATTTCTTTGGCTGGATCAGTTCCACCCTCCAAGTCAGTGTAACATTCTCAGTGTCCTTTTGTGCTTCCAGAGTCATTGATCATTTCTACTGTGATTCTTACCAAATTGAGAAGATCTCCTGCTCTAATCTCTTTATCAACAAGATGGTGTCTCTGAGTTTGTCTATTTTCATTATTTTGCCAACAATAATTGTCATAACAGTATCTTACATATATATCATATCCAAAGTTCTAAAAATTCCCTCAAGGCAAGGGAGAAAGAAAGCCTTCTCTACCTGCAGTTCTCACCTTGGGGTTGTAAGTGTGCTTTATGGAACAGTCTCGTTTGTGTATCTCACACCTCCCAGAAATCCTGAACTTCGCAAGGTGGCTTCAGTATTTTACACACTGGTCACACCTATGTTAAACCCTTTGATCTACTCTCTAAGAAATAAAGACGTCAAAGAGGCCTTGAGAAAAATCTTGGTAGAGAAAAATGTTTTATTCTAAATGTTCGTTTTTGTGATTTCATAATTAAAGGCCCATTGATTGCTTCAGCTTCATTTGCTAGTAATCTGGTATCAAATTTGAGTCATTCATGGATTCCTTAAATTAAACATCTCATAAATGAATTATTTTCATTGAGGAATTTGTGCTTATTCATTATTCAGCTTCTGTAAGACCAGTATTTTTTATTAATATTGTGGAAGTCAGTAAAAATTATTAGACATTCTATTTTCTTTCTTTCTTTCTTTCTTTCTTTCTTTCTTTCTTTCTTTCTTTCTTTCTATCACTTTCTCTTCTCTCTCTCTCCTTCCTTCTTTTTTCCTTCCATTCTTCCTTCCTATTATACCAGTACTGATATTTATAATCATATCTGGGCACCTTCTATCACTGAGCCTCCCTGTCAGGCAGGGTCTCAGTAGGTTGCATAGGATGGATTCAAATTTACTACCCTCTTGTCTCAGTCTTCTGAATATCTGGGGTTATAGGTATACATAACCATATTTGGCTATTATATATATATATATATATATATATATATATATATCTTTTGATAGATATAGAGAGAACAACTAAATTTTTTCCCTGAGTTTATTGAGATGGTGAGTGGGACAAGATTGCTTTGGAAAGGTGTTAAACTCATACCTATAGTATCAGCGAGAAGCTATGTTGATAATCTATACTTTTTGACAGGTGATGAGAAGGTTATTGCTGTTTTCTGATTTTCAAAACACAAATCTATAGCTTTCCTACTAGAAAAAATTCAGACAAAAAACAAATTGAGGTGTATTTTATGAAATATTTAACATGCTTCTTAGAATTGTCAACAGAATATGAAACCAGAAAACTCAAGAGATGCTCCCAGGACCAAAAGTTTCCTTGACACAATCAGAATATGGAAGAAATCTCAGAACAGAAAAAAACTGTAGTTAAAAATTAATGAAATATGAATAAATGGTCGTGTTTGGTAGTGATACAGCATCATTTCTTCTTTGATTTTGATAAATCTTCTATAATGTTGTCAAATGTGAACTCGTGAGAAACCTGGCAAGAGGTTTATAGGACCTCTCTGTACTGTCTGTAAATTTTATGTAAATCTTAAGCTATTCTAAAATATAAATTTTTAAAAACAAACTGATAAGTAAAGAAATATGCACTTTTAGGAAGGGAAAATAAATAACAGCTTGACTACATTTTAAAAATTCTACTATAGTCCAATACTTTAAGATACCAGAGCAAATAATTCATTCTCCAATTGTTATTTCTATTATAGATATAAACTTATATTTAGGGGCTTTCCAAACAAACAAACAAACCAAACACAAACCAAACAACAGCAACACAAATATGCAGAATAACAGAAAATATCCAACTTTCTTCAAACAGATAAAATATGAAGAGAAAATATAGTATATGAAAATTAGTAACTGCTTTGTCATTACATTTTGAAACTTGTCATAGGCCATTGATAGACTTTGTCCTACTTCACATTGTGAGATGACAACATTGGAAAAGGTCTGATACAATAACTTCCTGTGTGCATTTGTGTCCAACATCCATTGTGTCCAATGTAGTGGTTTTGAATATTTATTTTGATTATAATGTCAGGGAGAGTATTTCAGAAGACCTTTTGTGTTTCATTATCTTTCTCCACTTTATGGAACCAACTCCATTTCCCATGTCGTATTGAATTAAAATATTCATTTTATAACACAACCTATTTCTTCATCTTGTCATTTCAAAGCTAAAAATCAACAGACATTTAATTATAACTTCTAATTCAACTAAATCATCTCGTGTCATTTGGTAGAAATATTTTTCTACTTGGGTCTAAGTTTTCAAAACCAATAAATATTGGGGATCTATAAATAAGTACTTAATTTTAAAAAAATGATCTTGACTTTTTTAAAAAAGTTTTCAGATTCAAATGAAAGATACAGTTCATATTTTTACTTATTCCTCACAATCATGCACAAGATGTTATCTAAAAATATATGAATGCTGCAATTAAAAATTTATTAAAATGCAATTAATGATGAATTGTTAGTAATGTCCTTCAGAATAATTCCCCTGTTTGGAACACTATTATCCCATCATTCTCGCCACTTTCTGAAATAATTCTGTAATTCCTTTCTGTGTCTTTAGTGGCACTATTGTAGCTGCTTTGGTGTCTTTGACCCATTAAAAATGTTTATCTTTCATAGTAATTTTGACTCTGGGGAATAGACACTGGTGGATGAGGATATACAGTAGTGTTTTTGCAAAACTGTCTTTTCTTTGGATGACAGTTGACAGCTGCATTCATGGTATTTATGATTAAGTATATTTTGATGACACTTTGCAACCAGTTCATTGACATAGCAGTTGTATATTTAGGTCTTATCATCAGGAAAATAAATTGAACAATATAGATATCTGGCCTAACATGATGATTATATTTGTAGCTAAAGATGTAATGGATCTTCAAGAGACTATTTCATAATTTAATAAGACTTGTTTTTCTGGGTGGTTGTGATGGTTGTTCTATGTTGTCAACTTCATTGGCTTGAGAGACACTCAGGGTATAATCAAGCACACTTCTGGGTATGCCTGAATGGGTAAGAGGACACGGTCTTGTGTAGTCACTGGTCCTTTCTTGTCTGGCTCTTGCCCTCCTCTCTGTTTCCTAGGGGCCATGAGTTGGGCAGTTGTCCTCTGCTAAACCTTTCAACCCTTATGTTTCTGCATTGGAGCCACTAAACGGTAGACACTGAAACCATGAACCACAAATGAACATCTCCTTCAATTTGCAGTTAAGAGTTTTTTTTTTTACCCAGCAACAGAAAATCCAATACAGTGGTCAACAAGATTGATTATTCCCTCTGTCAAATTTTCAGGAAAATTTTCCAAAAGGTCACACAGATAAAATAAAGGAAGGACCAATTAATTATATGGAAAAATCAGGTAGGCTGAGAGCATGAATAATGTCCTTAGAAATTCAGACCCTGTTAATCCTCAGTTCCACTAAAAAGAAAAGATAATGCTGTATACAATGAAGAACTTCTGGAAATGCCCAAAGGTTTTACTTTTTTTTTTTTTAACAATAAACACCTCTTTTGGACAGCCCATCTTCTAACATCATATCTTTGGACTAGAATTAGACACTAACTCTAGTGACTGAAATTATGAAGATATGGAGAAAAATGGTAATAAAAGGGGGTGGTTGTAAATTTAGCATTTTCTTTAAGCATATTGAATACAAAAGATGACTATTCCAAAATGCAATGGTAAACATGGTCAGTCAAAATGTTCTTCAATCAAATAATGAATGGAGCACAATAATGAGTGGGAAATAATGAAGAGCTCATGGCATCACCAGCCCAAGTAATTCTGAAATCCCATGGGTCAAATCCAAAAAGAGGAATGTAATGCTCTACAGTTCCTTTCTTTGACACATCATTCTACTTTTGTCATAATTCCAATCTTTGAGATACTTCGTTTTTCTTTGTATTCCTTGAGTAGTTCTGATTAGTCCTTATCAGAAGCTCTGTAGCTTTATCAGCCTGGTTGCTGCTTGTCATGGTTTAGATCCAGAAAGGGGCACAGAGCTCTTTTGTACTCAGAGGTAGAGTATAGGTAGCTAGCTCCAGGCCTTGTCATGGTCTAGAGGAGTTTACATTTGTAATCCCAGGGAAAAGTTATTGGAATTCTACTAAGTAAATTCCAAATCTACCACTTCCAGTGCAACCTGTGGTGAGAACAAAGACAGACATAACTGTGTTGTGGGGAGCCAAAGGGGTCTTAAGACAAATCAGAGAATTGGCTAACCAGAATATAGCCCTGACCTAGGGCCTCATCCTCTTTTGATTAATTTGTGAAGAGGGGCGTGGTTTGGGGTTAAATGTGAGAATGGTGGGAGTATGTGAGTACTGTGAGTTGGACTAGATAGGAGGCAAAATAGTACCTCTACAGCATATGGAGAGAAGTACCAGAAATAAAACCATATTTGGGTAACAGCCTCCAAGTTTGGAGAAATCTGCATAGCAGGATTTGAGGGAGTATCTTGTGTTTTTGGTTGGTTGTCTTAGCTTTGCTATCTGGCCTTTATGCTCTGACAGTCACAGACTCTTTTTCAAGGCTCAGTCCCAGCTGATAGTAAGGCATTTCTTGGGCTAGCTCATGCTAAGCAGTAGGGAGAAATAGATCGGGTATCACTGACCTGTCACATTTCTTTAAAGGCTGCACATCAGCTCCTTGGTTAGACCCATTTGCATTGCTTAAAGTCAATTGACAGGGTAGACTTTATATTAGATAGCTCTGTACATATCAATACATGGACTCAGGATGAGATTTAGCCCAAATGGAGACAAATGGTTTTCTTTCAAGGAAAGCTGTCCCAGTGGTCCTCCACAATGGAACTTTTAGAGAGTGAGTGGATCCCTAGCTATCGATGTGCAGAGGAGGGGCTGGGCGGATCTGGGGCAACTGCATTGGCCTCCCCATGTGTCTGGAGGACTGTGGATATCTCAGCAAGCAGGGAGGGATTGCAGGTTCCTGAGGCACTGCGGCCTGTGGTGAGTGCTCAGCACACTCTGCCCAAATCTCAGACTGTTCTGGACCTTCCAGGCTTCCGGGTGCAGTGAAGTGGAGAAGTGGGTTTGAGGCCTCTACATCCGCCTCCCCATCCCAGCTGCACTTGGAGAACTGCTGAGCTTCCGACGGGTGGGCGGGCCCACACTATCCCCAGAGCCCAGCCTGTTTCGGACTGCCAAGCCTAGCCATCGGAGTGCAGAGGAGGGGCTGGGTGGATCTGGGGCGCCTGCATTGGCCTCCCTGTGTGTCTGGAGGACTGTGGATGTCTCGGCGGGCGGTGGAGCATTGCGGGTTCCAGAGGCCCTGCAGCCTGTGGTGAGTGCTCAGCACACTCTGCCCCGAGCCAAGACTGTTTGGGTCCCTCCAGGCTTCCAGGTGCAGTGAAGTGGAGAGGTGGGTTTGAGGCATCTACATCTGCCTCCATATCCCGGCTG